TAACGCGAAGCTTAAACTCTCTAATATAACATTTCCAACCTACAATGACTTTACCGTGCAACAACCTCAACGATCGATTGTATACAGGTACTGTATATACTACGCAAATTTCCATATTGTATAGATATACAGTATAGATATGTATATATCATACGTGCTGGTTAGGTTTTAATAACATGTTCACAAACATAAAAAAATACTCAATTTGGATAATCTTTGAAAAAATAACTCGTGGCTCGTGCATGTTTTTTTTTTTTTTTTTTTTTTCAAATTGCAATCTAAACTACCTTTTATTCCATAGCTGCATGCGTGCACTAAATATCTTACCTTTGATTCATTTGTATGACGTTGTCTGTCAAGTGCAATAGATAGCTCCATTTTCTCGTCATCCAAGCATTGTTTCCTATTTTCCAATAACTGCAGCTAAGATGTAAATTATTTTCAATCATTCAATACACGTTAATAAAGTCAGTATAAAGCCGCGAAAATGTACTAGATTGAGGCAGGGCCCATCCCAAGGCGTCCCATTACCATTTCCAAAATGTGAAGTTCTAAATGTAAAATGGAATTTGCCGAGGAAGCATGCCCTCGGAACCCAACTGTATAGCTACTTATAGTAGCTTATAGACAAAAGAGGCTCAACCGCGATGTGATCGTAGCGCTATAATAGTAAAAATTATATATCTTTATTTATTAGACAACAATGAAAAAAAAAGAAAAGGGTCCGTTGTCCCATTTAGACTGCTGCCTATACGTCAGTAAGGGCTACAATCAGTGAGAAAAGGTTTTTGGACAGTGATATAATATTCTGTGACGCAACGGAAAACTGCGAGCTTTATAATCATATTCAAGGCAATGTAGACCTTTTTCTTCTGAACCACCCCGAAGCACTTGTTATGATATGTGGTGACTTTAATCCAGTAAGTACTGGCTTCAATGCTAATAGAATTAAACAGATATCTGGTCTTCGCCAAATTATTAACGTTGCGACGAGAGGTTATTTTGGACTGGTGCCTAACAAATACGAAACATCTTAACTTTCGGATAATTCAATTACCACCGGTTGGTTCGAGTGACCATAACTCAATTATAGTAAAGAGTCATTTACATCATGTAACCAATCCCTCTAACGACAGAGTATGGAAAGGTGATTTACGGAAAAGTAATATAAGGTTCTTCGGACAGTGGATAACCAATTTCGATTGGTCGCCAGTTTTTGAAATCTCCGATTGCGATGCAAAGTATAATGAATTTAATGTTATCATGTATGGTATGATTGAACTTTTTTCTTCAGATTTATAAATATTGGCGAAATAAAGTCCAGCAATAAGTTAAAACTGCTCGTAAAAGGTTTTACCACTAGTCGGTCAAGAATTTAAAGAATACAAACCAGCAAGGTGGTGGAAAGAAATCAAATCCCTTGGTGGTTTATCATCTCAACAGTCTTGGTACCATCAGCTGCTGTCGGATGATAACCCTAATTGTGCGGACCTTGCTGAGTCTTATAACGACTTCTTAGTTGGTCTCACTGCTGACTTTGAACCCTTGGCTCGCTGTCATCAGATTGAAGAGACTGAAGTGCCAGATTATGTTATGGTTAATCCTGGACAAGTTTATTCAGCGCTGTGGCGTATTAAAACAACAAAATCACAAGGTCCTGACGGCATCCCAAACAAAGTTTTGAAGACTTTTGATAAAATTTCGAAAATTCTCATTGTTCACAGGGCTCATTGTTCTTCCCAAGCAATACAATCACACGTATTGTCTGTATTGTCTGATATATATAATTCCTCAATGCTCATTGAAGAAGATCTACGTCCTATCTCCTTCACTGCACAAGTAAGTTGCAAAAATAATGGAAGGATTTACTTTGGAATCGCTATTGCTAGAAGTTTTAGATAAGCTGGATCCGAAACAGTTCTCTTTGCCCAAGAAGTCAACAACTCAAGCGTTGGTTTATCAGATCCATGCAGGACTTGACAAAGGTCATTGTTCAGCTCGAGTTTTCTTCGCAGATTTAAAGAAGGGATTTGATTTAGTTGATCACAATGTCATTATTAATCAGTTTGAAAGGCTTGGCGTCCATCCCGTTATTATACGCTGGATTAAATCATTCTTAACTGACTGAGAACAGTGTGTTAGGGTTGGAAACTGTAAATCTTCCTGGAAGAAAACTAATGGAGGGTTACCACAGGGAACTAACTTAGGACCCTTACTATTCGCAATCATGGTTAACCCTCTATTAAAAGATTGGCAAGGTAGGATTAAGTATGTCGATGACACTTCAGCACTTGAAATCATCCCTCGATGCTCACCAAGCTTATACTGCCCATCGTTGTCAATGAAATTTTTGATTTTGCTGTTTCACGTGGGATGAAGTTAAACCCAAAGAAATGTAAGGAAATGGTTGCATCATTCCTTAAATATGACTTGCAGTGTATAGATTCCATATATATTTCTGGATCCCCGGTTGAAAGAGTTTGTTGTTACAAGTTATTAGGCGTTATCATCTCGCAAGATCTTACCTGGAACAGACACGTGGATCAAGAAAGCCAATTCCCGTCTTTATGCTTTGAGACAATTAAAGAAAGGTGGTTTAACTCAACATGCTCTTCTTAAAATTTATTGCTCTTTGGTTAGGTCTTGTATTGAATATGCATTCACCTGTGTGACTTAACCCAAAATTTAACAAATTTAATCGAGTCTGTTCAAAAACGAGCATTTACGGATTATCCTTCCCTCTCTTGCTTACGAAGATGCTTAGACGCGGTCCGGTCTAGAAACTTGCCAGATGTTTGTTGAGAAAATGAAGTCTGACGATCAACCAAATAACCCTATTGCTAACATTCTGAGGCATAACATTCATAATGAACGTGAACATAGTTATAATTTAAGACACAAGGGACTACGTTTTTCTCAGTTTATTACATGCATGACGTTTTTCTCAGTTTATTACATGATGTTTCTTAGTCATTGTAGGTTTTTTTTTTATTATTTTATTTAATATTGTTCAATAGATAATTTTATATTTGTAATATTTCTAGAAGCTCATTACCATAGCTAGTTTACGCGTGTAATTCAGTTTTGTAACTGCAAAGCGTTTTATTATTATTATTATTATTATTATTATTATTATTATTATTATTATTATTATTAATATTATATCTCCGCATTTCCAAATACTGTTCAGCATAAAACACTATCCCTCCCTCCCCCGCCCTAAACAATGTTGGGTCGCTGGCAAGGAACATTCTGCGCAGGTAGTTCCACACACAACATTGAACGGGGTGCGGGTCGATTATGTTGTAAACGTACGCTCTTTTGCTATTTTGTCCAAAGTGTTTTGTCACTGATTGTAACTGCATTGCAAACAAGTCTAAAATCCATTTATTAATAAATTATTATTACTTATATGAAATGAAATAACTCAATGAATGTAAGGACATTATTTACTTCTGTATGATTTTATGTGTATATTGGTTTGGGTAATAAGTATAGCTATACTTGTGTATGTAATATTTAGGAAGATTTATCAAACTTTTCTTTACTTACCTCCTTATTTACATCAGAAATGCTTGATTCAAATGATTTTCGTTTTTCATCAATCTCTCTATTAAATACATAACAGTTATAGCATACTAAACTTTTATAACAATCAATGTCCAGTCTGTAATTTCCGAAATGTTTCATTAAAAATGACGTCATGAGTAAAAAACGGACGGGCAACATGGAGAAGTGGTGGACGGGTTTTTAAATAAGGTCGTCCAGTTGGCTGCATGAGTTTGCCATTTCTCTGTCACAATCGAATGTTTGCAGCACTACATTAAATTCATAAACATACTGCTGTTAGACAGCATAATGTTTCAACTTAGTAACTTACTTTAATTGTCTAGACATCAGATCAACTTGTTTCATCAGATGAGCTGGTTGTGAGTGAACTTCTAACAATTGTGATTTAAAATTCTGCTCTTCATAAGAACTTTTTTCAAATTCATTTTGAAGTTGTTTTACTTCGCGATCTCTCGTCTCCAACTCCTCCTTCAACGTCTTAGTTTCCTGATTCCTTTTCGCTACTTCCAGTTTCATGTCTTCAATGAACTTTTTTACATCTTTTAATTCTTTCTCAATTTCCTCTTCCTTTGGCATACGAGCATACTCCCTCTCCAACATGGTTCTTTCCTCTTTCAACCCATTCAAAATAAAATCCAGTTGGTATTGCCTTTCATCAGCTTGTGCAAGTTCATTGGAATGTTTTAATAGATCCTGCCGTAGTCTGTTTACTTCTGTTACTTCTCCTTCAGGAAAGTTGTCAGCTTTCTCCAGTTCACCTCTTTGTTTCTCAACTCCCTGATGTAGATCTTTGGCTTTGCTCAATAAAGCACTTTCTGATTCTCTCGTGGTCTGCAGGAGATCATGATGGGCTGTGTACATGGACTTTAATTTCGCCAGTTTTTCGCCATCCAACTTCCCTTGACGAAACAGCTAGAGAAAAAGTACATAATTATTCAATTCACAGCATTTGAAGTTAATTTTAAATTTGTGGACTATAATAAATGGCGCATTTAATATTATTCATGTTTGGCATATACATTGTAATTTTTAAGAGCTATACTCAATTCGCATCTTACAACAGGGTTAACGTTTTTAAATTACTTGGCGTGTCGTTCCAAAATAATCTAAAATGGAACACACATGTTGAAGAGATTACACGAAAAGCAAATAAACGCCTCTACCATCTTAGAGAATGCAGGAAATCGCAGTTACCAGTCGAAGTCGGTATTATTACCTATCAATCCAAAATAAGACCAATTCTCGAGTATATATCACCTGTCTGGGCGGGACTCCCTAATTACCTGCGAGATGAAATAGAGCGGGTTTAATCCAGGAGCTTACGAATCCTTGGTCTGGAAAAAGATTACCTGCCACCGTTGAACGAAAGAAGGGAAGAGGCAACTAGTCGAGAAGTGGATAGGTTTATGAACGATCCAAACCATCCCTGTCACAGTGTTTTGCCAAAATTAATTAACAATCAGTACATTTAAGGAACACTGACTGGAATCGCAATATATCATTCTTCTCAGGAACTGAAAGGCATAAACTCTCATTTTCAGGAAGAGCTTGTAAATATTTAGAAATACTTTTAACTTCTTAGTTAGTTTTCTAAATTATCTTACGACAATTTGTAATATAAAGACATATTCACAGCATACTGTATACTTTCTTAATTAAACAAGTAACGGTAAGTCCATTGTACTTTTTTATCTTAAGATGGATGAATAAAGCTGTTATTATTAACAGATTCCCGAATAACCAATATATTTCATTCTACAGTAACTTGTATAAAGTAATGATATATTTAGGCAAAATGTATTCTGTTTCTGGTCAGTTGTCTACTTGTCTGTCCAAAACAGTTTTTACGGAAATGGCGAGTATATAAATAATATTTTCAAGTTAATTCCATCATACATTAATTTTTTATGCTTGAGCCTATTAATGTTAAACTGCCACCTAAGAAGTGAGTCCCAAGGCCGGCGAGAGGGAGGGGCAGGGGGGGGGGGAATACCCGGGGCCTGGAGTGCTCAGAGGGGCCCGGAAATCTCGGTAATATGTTCGTATTGTTTATCATCACTTATGTTCAAAAACAGTTAGCTGAGCATCGTTCACATTGCGTTTTTATCAGTTATGCGGCGATTTCTTGCAAGTAATTCGCTGGCAATTCTCTCCATGATTGCGATTAAAAATAACTAGCGGGAGAGTCGAGAGGGACAGGGGGCCCTGTTCACCAATCGTCACTTTGTCCCAGGGCCCGTGGTTGGCTCTCGCCGGCTTGAAGAAGTCTATAACTACTTTTGAATTATATATAATAGAATTTATTGAAATGTATCAAATATCACAAGAATATGCTATATTGACGCGCATAGTCACACACAGATGACGCGCGTGCTGAGGCAGCTGAGCAGAAACAAAATACTTTTTTGGCCTTATTTGACTCGAGTTTCTATGGTTACGCTATGTTTCTGTTTAAAAAACAAGACAACAGCGCCATTCTTGCAAAGTCTCAAATTTCTCAGTCTCAACGGAAAGTCGGAAACCCGTTTGAGAACCACGACACAGTGAATAGTTGGTGTATATCGGCAATAACTAATTTCTATATTGTACATCGCACTCATCTCTAAACGCGCTTGACAGACAGGGCGTAGTAGACATATCTTGACAGCAAGACCGCCGTATCTTACAGTCAATTGAATTGACAGCAATACAATTTTAGGGAAGCTGCAAACGCAAGAACGAGATATTCAAGATGTTCGATGTCAAGCTTTTCGACGTTCATGATCCCAATAGCCTAACTCATGCATGCAGCACGTTTATTCAACGATGAATTTGTTTCCGTTGCCAGCCATCTTAATAAAGGCAAGCTTTTATTCGCCAGAAATCCTTGTAAAGAACGTGTTCGGGACAACAAGGACCGTTTCAGAGACGTCTGGTTCGTGGTAAATGAAACTGGTCAAGTCAAGTCAAGTCAAGTAGAATACCACAACTGTAATTAAAGTTATTTCAACAAGATCGCGAGACGCGAGTATGGTCTGCGTGAAGATATACCAGATCTTGGCGATATAATCCGACGGTATATTATTATGCCGTGATCGTTATCAGACACGGAACGAGTAGAAGGAATGAAGAAACTTATTTAATATTATGGAAATTCTGTTCCTCTGTATTCCTTGCCACTCTAAGAACTAACGTAATTAAGAATTAATGACGCTAAAAAGTATTTATTTAGCAGAACATGACAAAATGCAGAATTTGACAAAAATCCTTATAAATCTAAACATTTTTCGTTCACTACGTATATTGGGGGGGGGGGG